CACTAATCTAGCTGAAGAGCCGCTCCTTGCTAGCTCATCAGCGACCTCGTTCCCCTTGATTCCCGCGTGCCCCGGGACCCACACGAGAGCAACGTCATTACCCGCGGCCAGCCTGTTCAATGCATCCTTGCACTCCCATACCAGCCTCGAGTCAAAGATGCATGCCCCCAGCGTCCCTAGGGCCGCTCTGCTGTCTGAGCAGATCCTGATACGCCTGCCCATCCGCCCAGATGCAATCAGCAATTGAGCACAACTCATGATTACCACCACCTCCGCTTGAAAGACTGTGGTGAACTCTCCGAGGGAGAGAGCCTTCCTAAAGCCCCCACGGCTTCCAAAGACCCCGGCATCGGCGCCCCCGTCAGTTTTGGAGCCGTGTACCAGACGTCCCCATTCCTGATAACGAGCACCTCGTGCCTCTCCCACTCCTCACGACTAGGAAGATAGATCTTGAAAGATCTATCAAAGTCCCGTTTTCTCGGCATCCCATCCTGCCTCATATCCAACACGGTTTCCATCTGGATATCCCGTGGTAGCCGGATGTGGCCCACCCCGATCGTCCACTTGCCTTCACACTTCAACCTATACGCCGTGGCCGCTGCTGCCGCCACTATCGCAAGGAGGAGCGGTTCGATGCCGAGCAGCACTCCCATTGCTGCCACCGGCGTTGTTCTCATTGCTCCCAGAGCCCCTTTTAAAATAAGAACCCTGACGCGTTCCAGCATTGCCCGAGCCTCCGCTAGCTGTGTTCTTGGCCACCATACCACAGCAGCATAAAGCAGTCTAGGCCGGAGCCGTGTATAGCCAAAGCACCCTATCCGGTTGAAGTTCCCAGGTTTGCCCAAAGGTTCTTCTGCACATCCAGAAATATGTGCAAGCCTTCCTACACACCGCCTCTAGGTGAAACTTCCAATTCAGTCTTTTATCCAAGATAACTCCTAGATACTTGACTGACGTCTCAGGAGTCAGTCTGACCCCTTCTAAAACAGGCCCCTCTACGGAG